CCCGGCCCGTCGAAGTCTCCAGCCCGCCACCTGCGAGGCCATGATGGCCCCTTCCCGACGACGACGACGCTGGCACCTGTAATCTTCAGGAGGTAGCTCATTGGGCAACAACTCCGCGAAGAAGGATTTCCCCACAACTGGAAACACGTGGACCACCCTTTTGCCCTTAGGCCCAGGCTGGGCCGACTTGTACAAGGCACACCCCCGACTTACATTCCAGTATAAGGGGGCCAGGTCGGTGATCCTGATTTTCATCATCCCGTCCAGGAGGGTCTCCAGAAACTGCGTGGGCTCCTCGGGGGCTCGTGGGGCTCCAAGGCCAGGGCGCTGACGTTCCATGCCGCGTTCAGGGTGAAGGAGTTGCCACCAAAGTTCGAGTGGGGCCGATCCTCCGGGAACAACGCGGCTTTTCGGGGCCCGACGAACGTATCTGCGACGGCGTTGAATATCCTTGTGTCCTAGCTGCTGGGGGCGATCCTCATAGCGGGCCATGCCATACATCTGATTCATGTCCAAATCATCTCGAGCGGCAGGCCAGGCGCCTAAGCCGATCGGGTGGACCTGCACCCCGCCGTCGCCTCGCCACCTGGGAGGGAGGGGACCAGACGGCGAGCCACTCCTCATGCGTGATGGGAGCTCCGCCGGAACGCCGCCCGTCCCGTCTTTTCACAAAAAAACGACAGCGGGCAGCGCGGCGGGCCCGGCCCATGGCCTCGCAGAGGTTCCTCTGGGCCCAAGCGTCGTATGAGGCCTGGACGTAGGACTCCCTCACAGCACGTACATGTCTTCTTCGAAGGAGTGTGAGGCGCTGGGGGAGATCGCGGAAGTCGTACTCCAGCTGCTCCGGCTCGGTGTCGTCCACGGTCGCGCGGAGCATGTCTCTCCTCAGCTTCGCCCAGTGCGCGTATTCGTCGGGGAGGTCCGTCGGCTTCGCGAAGTACTCGGAGCCTACCTCGACCATGCAGCGCTCCAGCAGCTCAAAGGTGTGATCGGGGGCGTCCTGGTCGTGGGCCGTGATGCGCTCCTCGACGTGGTCATCCAACCACTGAGCGACGCCATTCACGAAGTCCACACGTTGGTCGCCATTTTTGACCGCCGCCATAAGGGCTGTCATGTCCCACTTCGCCGTGACTGGCTGGTCCTGGCAGTCACGTGGTCCCTGTAGGTGAGAAACTTCAAGATATACTGGTGCGTGGTCTCGTGGTGGTCGGCCTCTCAGGGCCTGTAGCTGGGCGCCCACTCGGTGCAACGTGTGGCACTTGACTACGTGGGGCGCCCAGCCCTGTGGGAGGAAAACGAAATCGATGAGGCTGCTCGGGCCCTCGAGCCCCTTGCCGAAGAAGGTCGCCTCGTACCTGTTCATCGTGTTGGCCGCCAATAGGTGCTGCTGCGTGAGTAGATCTCCCACCGCCTCGCCCGCGCCCAGTCGGCGCCGTTCTCGTGTACGTTCTGCCAATAGCATTCGTCTCATAGTCCGTCCAGTCGCCGTCGATCTTACGGCAGCCTAGTCCGTCATTGACGTCAGCGTAGAACAATGGGAGGCAGCGCGTCGGTAACTGCGATAAACAAGTGCGCCACCATTGAATCACCTTGGCAACCGTCTGAGTGTAACGTGGGCCTGCCCCGCGACAGCGGGGCTGGGGAGGACAGTAGAGCACGCCCACGCACACATTTACGACGCCTCGGCGGATCCTCGCCGCCAAGCAGCGTCCGCCCACGTCTTGTGGGCTGGGGTATACACGACGAAACTGATGTTCACGAAAACCACGTCCAAGAAGGATGGGTACACCAGCGCTAGCGTTTGCGTACAAGCCTGGATGTGCTGCCGCCTCGAGGGCAATTCGCCCACCGACCCGCCGCTGGAGAACATGAGATGCTTCACGGCAGACGTTCTGGGTGCCAGCCAGGAGCGTGAAGTCCATATTTCGTGTGCAGCTGGCGATCTCCGCAAGGCGAACGCCAGTCGCCCACATTGGGTTCCAGCCCAGCACCCGTAGCTTGGTCATGTCGGTGGTCACCACCCCGTCCGAGAGCGACGACCGCACGGTCGAAGAGGCGCCATGGGCTGCATACTGAATTCGGAAACTCGGGCCCCGCTGATTCGAATCTCTCGAGCCCAGGGGCTAGGGCGAGGAGGAGGAGGATGAGGAGGAGAAGGAGAAGGAGGAGGAGGAGGACCACTGTAATTCCAAGAGTCACCAACGATGTTGGAGTACACCCTCTTCCCAAGCTCCCTCTTCATAGGCCCCCACAAATATTCATGTCCTTTGATGGAACTGCCTCGTTGGAAGGCACCCGTTTGAAGACCCTGAAACATGCCAAAACATTGTTCTCGGGATTTCAACGCCACGGACCAGCCTGACTGTTGCGTATTGAGGATCCTGAGCCGTGCAAAAAAAACCCGATTCCTAGTTTTTCAACACAGAGGATCAACGTAACTGTTGCGCCCGCGTAATCCTACATTCTTTCAACACATCGTTTCTGGTACGTTGACGATGGGAGTCCGTAGAACTCTTGCACAGGTCTAAAGCGAATGCGCGCCCCGCTACGGCGAGAACCGCATTTTGAACACCCCCCGCCCTCAATCCGTGAAGCCCTTGCAAATTATTATAACGAATGTACGCCGTGCTAACGCGAGAACCACATGTTTAAAACCACCCGCCCTCAATCCGTGAAGCTCTTGCACATTAAAAAACGAATGTGCGCCGCGCTAACGCGAGAACCACACTTTGAAAACAACCCGCCACCAATCCGCGAAGCTCTTGCAGATTATTGTAGCGAATGTGCGCCGCGCTAACGCGAGAACCACACTTTGAAAACCGCCCGCCCTCAATCTGTGAAGCTCTTGCACATTTCAAAGGCGAATATGCGCCGCGCTAACGCGAGAACCACATGTTTAAAACCACCCGCCCTCAATCCGTGAAGCTCTTGCACATTAAAAAACGAATGTGCGCCGCGCTAACGCGAGAACCACACTTTGAAAACAACCCGCCACCAATCCGCGAAGCTCTTGCAGATTATTGTAGCGAATGTGCGCCGCGCTAACGCGAGAACCACACTTTGAAAACCGCCCGCCCTCAATCTGTGAAGCTCTTGCACATTTCAAAGACGAATGTGCGCCGCGCTAAGGAGAGAACCACATTGTGAAAACCCCCCGCCCTCAGTCGGTGAAACTCTTGCAAATGCTTGAAAAGAATGTGCGCCGCGCTAAGGCGAGAGCCACATTGTGAAAACCACCCGCCCTCCATCCGTAAAGCTCTTGCAAATGTCCAAAACGAAAAGAAGAGAGCCACATTTTGAAAACGACCCGCCCTCCATCTCTGAAGCTGTCGCCACTTGTTAAGCTTCAGAATCATACATGGTGAGGACGTCTCCCGCGAAACGCCCGCCCTGCCTTAAAACTGGCCTCGGTGTTCGACAGGGGGAATTCTTTTGGTTAGTAAAATGAATGGAGGAGGAGGAGGAGGAGGGGGCGGAAGAGGAGGAGGAGGAGGAGGGGGAAGGAGGTGGAGGAGGAGGCAGAGGTAGATGATGATGATGATGATGATGATGATGATGATGATGATGATGATGATGATGATGATGCTGATGCTGATGCTGATGCTGATGCTGATGCTGCTGATGCTGATGCTGCTGCTGATGATGATGCTGCTGATGATGATGATGAGGAGGAGGAGGAGAAGGAGGAGTAGGAAGAGGAGAAGTAGGAGGGGGAGGAGGAGGAGGAGGAGGAGGAGGAGGCGGAGGAGGAGGCGGAGGAGTAGGAGGAGGACGAGGAGGAGGAGGGGGGGAGGAGGAAGAGGAGGAGGAGGAGGATGAGGAGGAGGAGGAGGAGGACCAACGATGTTGGAGTAAACCCTTTTTCCAAGCTCCCTCTTCATAGGCCCCTACAACGATTCATTTCCATTGCTGGAACTGCCTCGTTGGAAGACACCCGTTTGAAGACTCTGCCACCAAGGGCTTTCGGTGGAGCTCCCTTCTACGGGCCTCGAATCGTGTGAGGGGTGTGTCGAAATGGGCGGGGCGGCGGCGTGCGAATCCTGCCACTGGGGTCCTCGGTGGAGCTCCCTACGGGGCCACGAGGCGCGTGAGGGGTGTGCCGACATGGACTCGCGGAAGGCAGAGGCACGGATGAGAGCAAGGGATGGGCAGCGGAGCGCAGCGGAGGCAAAACGAGGACCCGCCACGCTAGGAAGGCGGGGAAAAAAGGCCTCGACCAATCTCGAAGCTCGATCCTCCCCCCTCGACTCACACACACAATATTTCCTCGGCGGCCCCGCCGCGATGGAGCGGGCCGAAGCGCGCAACCCCTCGAGGCACGCACCTCGCTGCCCAGGCAGTGGCGCCAGCCGTCTGGCTCCGCTCGGCGGCAAACCCAGGGGGGGGGAAGCCTTCTCAGAAGGCAGCGGGGCTTCTCGGAAGCCCTCCGGCCTTCTGAGAAGCCGTCTCTGTCTTCGGAGAAGGCTTATAACACTTCTCAAAAGGCTGGAGACCCTCTGAGCCTTCTGAGAAGGCCCGCCACCTGACTTCCCCCCTGGGCTCGCCGACGAGGGGCGACGACAAGAAACGGGTCTTACGCGAGATGACGTACCGCGACCTTGCGCCGTGGCTGACGCGGGCCGCCAGCGCGGCACGCTGCATCAGAAACGAGGGCGCTTACGCGCCCTCTGACGCGCCCTCTTGTTGGGGCAGCTCGCGCGCGAATGTCCGCGCAAGCGAACTCGCTTTCTTCCGTCGCTCAGGTGGCGGTCGCGACGTGGGCCAGAAACCGCCGCGGCGCGGAGCCGAGGGCGACGGCGGCGCGACCACGACGACAACGACGACCAGGAAGATGGCGACGAGGATGGCAGCGACGATGACAACGACGACGGTGGCGGAGGCGACGGCGACGACGGCGACCTCCTCGCTGTCGAGGGCAGCCTCCGCAGGCCGCCGAGGGTCGCCGAAGGCCGCCGAGGGCCGCCGAGGGCCGCCTCCGAAGGCCATCGAGGGCCGCGCGCCTGGCCGTGGCGGGCGGCGGCAGGCCGTCAACCGCCTCGGGCCTGGCGGCGGGCGCTCGCGGGACGCGTGGGCCGCAACCACCGCCGCTGCCGCCGCAGCCGCCGCTGCCGCTGCAGCAGCTGCCAGCAATGTTGCTGCCGCTGCCGCTGCAGCCGCTGCCGGCGCTGCAGCCGCGTGGCGGCTGAGGTCTCGGTGTCCCGCACGCGGAAGGCCCCTGTGCACCACCGCCGTGCCCGGGCAGGGCCATCCCTGGCCTTGGCGTGTGCGCACGCCCTCCTGGCCGATGCCAGGAGAGGCTGTGCACCATCCTGGGGCTCGGGGTGGCCTTGGCCGGGCACGGTGTTGGTGCACACATGCCTTCTGCGGACCCCGACCCATATGTGGCCCAGACACCTCGATTGCTCTCGATCCTCGAACCTCGAGCGACGGCGACGGCAACGGTGACGGCGGAGGCGGCGCCATCGAGGTCTCGGACGTCCAGCCCATGGGTGGATTCAGAAGTCTTTGACGTTTTCGAGCCGTTCTGGGCCTCTAAAGGCCCCCGAGGAACTCCACAAACTGGCGGGGACCTCCAGAGGCATCCAGGCGCCAGGGAAAAAGCCGACCGGCGTTTCTGGCTCCGTTTTGGGCCGCAGGGCCGCTCGAGAAGCGCCACAGCTCGAGGGCAAGAGCATGCGAATCGGTGGTCCAAGCCTCTGGACCTGGTGGCTTTGGAGCCCCAGGGTGCTGGGAAGCTTCAGTCTTAGGTCTTAGGCTTCGCGCCCTGGTCACCATGCAGAGGCTGCTGCAATGCCCATGCCGTTGGCCCACATAGCTCCGACCTGTCGCCTCTTACCAACGGTGAGTGGGCGGATGCTTGAGCAGAGCTCGGAACCAGATTCTTGAGGATACGCTGTCAGACTGCTTCCTCCGCTAGGGCTACCAGCTACTGTACACGCTGCTTCCCCTGGGCCTCAAGTGTGCCACGTCGTAACGGCGAGGCAGTCCGAGGACGAGCGCTCTGGCACCCGATCCGGACTGCGGGTGTGCCGCCACGGGGGCCCAAACGGCGCTGCAGGGAGCTGGAGACGGCCAGGGCGGGTGAAGCACGAGGCATCACCAGCCAATCGAAAGAAGCTGCTGCGTGATGGCACCCCCAGGGCTGCGGCTCGAAGCATGCGGGGCCAAGGGTGCCGTCTGAGTCTGCGCAGGTCGCCCTCTGTCGACTGGCTGGCCTCCGAGGCTGGGCACCGCTGCGCAGACCAGAGCGCGGCGCTTTCTCGGTCCGACTGGGGCGGCCAAGAGAGGGCCGCCGCTGGCCCCCCTTTGTTTGCTGCCGTGGGGGCCATCGTGTGCCGGCAAAAAGAAAGCAGCAGCGCGTATGCTGCGTTGGCTGCAGGGCCGCCCTTTTGCGGACAGCCTCGATCAGGAGAGGCTCGATCGGGGACTGGGAACTCAGGGCGGACTCGCGAGCCAGACCCAATCGAAAATGGGCCGCTCGAACATATACGTTTGGGGAAGTTGGCGGCGCGTACAATGGGGTAAGGGGAGGGGGGACGGCTTTTTCGAAGGAGGCTGCTTCTTAGAAGGCGCCGGCCGTACATCCGTAGATGAGGCCCGCGCCTTCTAAGAAGCAGGGGTGCTTCTGAGAAACCTTTCTCTCTCTCCCTGCCCCCCTCTGCGCTTGGCTGAGGAAGGGGGCGATCTGAGGGGTCGGAGGGGGGCCGCGGATCACGCGTCGTGCGCGGTCTGATCAGGCGAACCCCCTGGCCTCACTCTGGCCAATCAAGCCGGGCCCCCCTGAACTCCGACGGCTCGACTGTTCGGAGTCGCTGGTCGGGGTCCCCGGAGGTCCCAAGGAACCCCCAGGGGTACCTGTAGCTACCCGGAAGCTTCCAGAGCTCTGAAGCGCAAAAGTGGGGTCCCTCGACCCCTGGGCCGCCCAGAACTTTTCGAATCGCCATTCGGCTGGGCCCTGGCGAGTCAGCCCGACGTTCGGAAACGGCAGCCATACACCGCCACCTTTCCTGGCAAGGGCCGTTCCAAGGGGCGTGCGGGTCGCCGCCGGGGAGATGAGCTCGCATCGTGCACACGGACGGGTGCAAAGTGGGCGGCGCAGCGAAATAGAATACGTCTTACTGAACCTGCCGTCGCGAGCATTGACCCTAGGGCGATGAACCAGCAGTGCCTAGAGAGCCTGCGAATGGGGGAATTTAAAGGACGCCCTCGACGACGACTGGCCTGGGGACATCCTCGACGCAATCTTCAACCACGACGGCAGGCGCGTGGCTCTGGACATCTCCGTTGGGGGAGACCACGGGGACCCAGTCCGGGTGCGCACTGCTGCCAGCGGGGACGGGCCAGCCCGTCGCGCGGGAAGAGCGAGAGAGGCGCCACAGGTGCGCCGGTCTCAGCGTCACGCCCTGCGCGCTTGAGGTCGGCGGCCAGGCGGGTGAGAAGTGCCCCGACTGCCACGCGTGCGCATTCCAGCGGCCATGGCTGGAGGAGGTGTCGTGGCGCCTGCCTGGCCGCCCCCCTCTGGCAGGAGATCGGCGTCGCGCTGCAGTCCGCCACGTGGTGTGGCGCGCGGCCAGCGTGCGCGTGCGCGCGGGAAGCGTGTCCACGGCGGAATGCCGCTCGCGCTCGTCATCTTCCCCCTGCGTACACACAAACATACACTCACCCTCACTGACCGCTGCCGGGAATGCGACGATGAGGCACGCCAGCGTGACGGCCTGGTAGGCGACCGCGAGCGCCGCCCCAGCCCCGCCAGCCCGCGATCGTTTTTTCCCCCAATCATCCAGGCTGCCAACTTCGTCGTTGCATCCTCCCTGTTGCGCGCCCGTGCCGCCGCTGCCTGCCGCCTTTCCTGCCGATGGGGGGGCCGCGCGTTCCTCGGCGGGGTGGGGCACCCAGGCCCCGACCGGCGCACTGGATCTGTAAGTGGTTGGTTGGCAGCCCCCAAAACTCCCCAACCCATCCTCGACCAACCCCCAACGCCCCAACCCTCCAACTCCCCAACTCCACAACCCGTCAACCTCCAAACCTCCAACCTGCCAACCCCCCAATTCCTTCCTCCCCCCTGCTCCTGACCCCCCCCAGCCCCGCACCCCCCACCCGCTACTTTCCAACCCCTCAACCCACCAACCCCCAAATCCCCAAACCACCCAGAACTTCCCAAGCCCCCAACCCCCCAACCCTCCAATCCCGTCAACCCCCCAAACCTTTGAACTTCCCAACTCCACAACCCCTGGATACCCCAACCGACGAACATTCCAACCCCCAATCCTCCAACAATCCAACTCTCCAACCCCCCAACCTTCCGAACCCCCAACCCCTAAACCCCCCACCCCCCCAACTCCCCAACGCCGCAACCCGTCAAACTCCCAAACCCGCCACCCCCCAAACACCTAGCCCCCCCAACTCCCTAATCCCCCAGCCTCCCAAGCCCCAAACCCACAAACCCTTCAGCTTTCCAACCTCCCACCCCACCAGCCCTTAACCCTCAAACCCCCACCTTGACCCCTACAAATCCACAACCCCCCAATTCCCCAATTCCTCAATCTCCCCAACCCCCAACCCCTCAACCGCCCCTACTCTCAACCTTTGAACCCCCCAACCGCCCACCCCCCACCACCCCAACCTCCCATTGCCCCGAACTCCCCAGCCTTCCGAACTCCCCAGACCCTCAGCCCCCCACCCCTCAACCCCTCACCCCCCCAACTCTCTCACCTCTCAACCTCCCGAACCCCTAGCCCTCGACCTCCCTATCGTCTAACCCCAAACGCCAAGCCCCTCAGCCCCCCCCCCAGCCCCCCGTATCCCAACCCCCAGGCCCCCGAACCTCCCAACTTCCCAACCCGCTACCCCCCAAACTCTCGGACTCCCAACCCCGCAACTCCAAATGCCCACACCGCCAAACCCTTCAACCCAGTCCCCCAACCTCATTCACCTCGCCAGCCCTGCTCGCCAAACCCATCAACCTCACCAACCCTACCAACCACACCGAAATCACCCGCCAACTCCAACAACTCAATCATCCCCGTCAGTCCCCAATCTTGTAAGCCTGGGATTCAGCCAACATCGCCAACTACGCCAAGTACGCCAACTTCGCCCACCTCCAAGCCGACTCTGCCAACGCCATCAAGCTCCCAGCGTTGGGGGGCTTCACTGCTCTTGAAGGGCTTCTGAGGATGTGGGGTTGGGGGATTGGGGGGTCTTGCAGTCTGGAAGGGTGTCTGATGTCCCAGGGTTGGGGGGTTGGGGGTTGTGGGGCTTCGCCACCAAGGGTTTATGATTTCAAGAGGCTGGGAGGTTGGCGGGTGGGTGGGGGCGGGGTGGGAGTGGGTGAGCAAAACATGAAGTAGAAATCGGGAGATGTAGTAATGGTGGTGAAGGAAAGATGTGGGAGGCATCCTCCAGGAGTAGGACTCTTTTCCGATGCAGTAGCGGATCGAAAACTGCGTTTGCAATAATCGGGGCACAGATCGCCGGCCGCTTGAACAACAAATGGCGGCGCGGACGCTCGCTGCGCTCGCTCACGTACTGCCCAGCCCTCAGGCCTACATGTCAAGGGGGAGGAGACGAGCGGTAGCGAGCATCAAGCTACATTTTGCGAAACAGTGCTGCAGGGTGCATGTTGCCTACGGAGATTTTTCTAACTCATAACTGCTTTGAGACTATGGGACTTACGCGTGACATGCGTAGCGGTCGCGGCAAGCCTGGCCCGATTCGGCAAAGTGCCAGAAGTCGAATCTGCCACGGAAAAAATAGCAGACTGGAATGGCGTGCGTCCGCGCATGCAAATCGAGAGGTCGGCGCGTCTTCACGCAATTAGAACAGGCGCAGAGCACAGGGAACGAAAACAACGGCGGCAAAAGAGGTTTCATTCACTTCAGTGTGCCCCCAAGCGAGGAATGCATGTTCTGCCGGCTCACTGAGAGCCGGGCTCAGCCTTTGATGTCTGTGCTCTGTAGGGGGCGTGCGTCTTCAGCTCGCGCATGAAGGATTGCGTACCCGCCATTACTTGTGGCAGAAGGTGGCGGATTATACTGCCCTTGGCATATCCATCGACAGTCGTATCCCGCGCGTCGCACCACTGAATACTGCCTGCGACGCCCGATGTCCATCATCTTTCTAATTCAGCTCACGTGACAAAACTGCACTCAGTGGGCTTCTTAATATTCTTGCTGGATAGGGACTTAAACGCGGACGCAGCGTGGATCGTGAGAACAAGCTTGGTACACTGACCACCGATGTCCAGACTTGTTTTGAATTGTGTTGGCGTCTGTGGTCCCACCTTGAGTTGGTGTTGTGTGACCGTGGTCGGGCAGCGGTCTTCTGGGTTGCGTGCTGCTGCTAGCGCTTCCGCAGAATAGCTTGACCTGACCTGCCGTCGATGCGACTCGCAGTAGGCGTCGATGAGATGTGCGACAGCCTTGCCATCGCGCGTGTTCCCGCGCCTGAGAAGGTTGGCACCCCTGATGCCATAGCGGCCTTGTCCTCGGCGTCGCTTGTTCAACTTCGGAAGCCCGAGTCGCTGTCGAGATCGAACTCTCCGGTGGGCTTCGTGGCCGGGTATTTAATTTTCTTGGATTCTGTGAAGTTTACGCGTGATCGCGCTCAGCCGTCGGGCCTATAAGCTCGTCGGCCCATGCGCCCGCAGTAGAGCGACGACGTGGGCCATCAGCCAGACTTGAGTTCGAAGGGCATATGCGAGTGCCCCGCGGAGGCTGATAAGCATGTCTGTGACAATTTTGGTAGCATGTGCTTCGGCCTCCGAACTCGTGCGTTCCTGGAAAGGACGGAGTTGTTTTGACGTTCTCGTGCTGATCCAGAGTGGCGTCGCCATTCTCGGTTCTCGTATATCTGGCGGCGCCGTAGGTGTAAGTGCGCGCGTTGAGCTTGCGCGTGCCCGGCGTGTACTTAACGCAGTTGACGTTGCAATGGGTCGTCTCTTCTGTGCTTGTCATGTTGATGTCGCCGACGTGTTTGGCCTCCAGTGGCGTCTCCGCTGTTTCGAGCTCTTCGTCATGAGACGTCGCCTGAAGTCCGAGGCCGCGCGTGGCGTTGCGCAACTTCAGGGAGGAGGCGCGTGGAGCGCCCTTCGCTCCTGTGCCTGGCTTGAGGCACTGTAGGCGACGCTTGCTTGCATCGCCCAGCCTCGTGGTAGGGCGAGGCATGCGGCGCGCCCCCGTTCCCCCGCGGCTTCGACAAGCTCGCTGCGCGTGAGGCCCCGTGGAAAGCCCGTCTGTATCCATAGACGTTATGAACCAACCAGGGTGGCGGGCTCCCTCGCTGGCCGGCAGGCGCTGGCTCGCTTTTCGCGCCGTGCCCGAAAAAAGGTCTCGACGTCGAAGGAATCCAGATCCATGGATCCTCGGATGCCTAATCGGATGCGAATCGTCGTGGCCATCGTGTTCTTGACGAACTTCCATATGTGCACGCATCGGGAAATCATGGCGTTTGAGGCCCCACCGAGGGAAGCCCTATAGACGCACTTGTTGTCGAATCATATATTTAGTTCCGTGTATAGTGCATTGCCTGCCTGTGCTGGATGTGATTGGATCTCAGATTTGGGTAGCTGGTCGTCCTTATCACCACTACCGCGCCTTTAGAAGCAATGGGCATGTATATCCGCATGGTGATGATGCTGTCGTCGCACAGTGAATTATGCTGTTGCTCGGTAAGCACAACCTTGGCCGTGTCAGCCGTGGAGCAAAATTATGTGCTGGCAATTGTTGCCGCTGTCGATCGTATAGGCATCATCGCAGTGTGGAAGAATAGGGATGTGATGCACGTCCTCATTGTGGTAACGCGCGTCTCCGCGATCTCGTGGGCCTGGGTCGTCGTTGGCGACTGTGACCGTGACGGGCTGGTCCGAGATTGTGGTCGTCGGGATGGTGTGCAGTGGTTCTGGGGGCGCACTCTCAAGAAGCTCGCGCTTGTCGGGCAGTTTAGCGTGGCGGGCTTAAGGGCGCGAGCCTCTAGGTCGGCCCCGGATTCCTTTTGGATCGTGCGCGGGCGCCCCGTTGGTGGAGAAGGCTCTCCAGTGGACGTCTACGCCGGTTGAGCGTTTCCGCCAGGGGCAGGGCCGCCTGTGTTCTCCTCGGACTGCGAGGGGTTCTGATGTCCCGGGGTGGGTGGATCGGGGGCTTGGGGGCTTCGCTCCGGGAAAGGTTTCCGATGTCGCAGGGTTGGGGGTGTGGGGGATTGGGGGGTACCACCGTCCTGAAGGTTTCTGATGTCACAGGCTTGGGGGGTTGGCGGGTTTCATACTCTGGAGGGGTCTCTGGTGTCCAGGGTTGGGGGGTCGGGGGGTTCACCCCCCTTGAGGGATTTCTGATGTGACAAATTTGGCAGGTTGGGTGATTTCACGTCCTGGAAAGGTTTCTGATGTCCCAGGGTTGGGGGGTTGGGGGCTTGGGGGGTTTCACCCCCGTGAGGGGTTTCTGATGTCACAGGGTTGGTTGGGGGGTTTCATTTCTGATGTCACGCGGTTGGGGGCTGGGTTGGGGGGTTGGGTTGAAGGGTTGGGCGGTTTGGGGATTGGGAGTCAGGGGGTTGGGGGGGGTAGCGGGTTGGGCGGTTGGGGGGGTGAGAAATTTGGGGTCTCAGGAGCTGGGGAGTTTGGGGGTTAGGTGGTTGAGGGTTCTGGGGGTTAGACGATTGGGAGGTCGCGGGGTTGGGAGGTTGGGGGGTTCGGGGGTTTGGGGGTTGGGTGTTTGGGGGGTTGGGCGGTTTGGCGGTTGGGGGGTTGGTGGGGTGGGGGGTTGGGAGCTTGGGGAGTTGGGGGTTGGGGGGTTGAGGGGTTTGGGGGTTCGGAAGGCTGGGGGGTTGGGGGGTTGGGAGGTGGGGTGGTGGGCAGTTGGGTGGTTCAAGGGTTGAGGGTTGAGGCGGTTGGGGGTTTGGGAAATTGAGAGATTGATGAGTTGGGGGGTTGGGGGGGTTGTTGAGTTTGGGGGTTCTGGTGGGTTGAGGGGGTTGACGGGTTAGAAGGTTGGGGGGTTGAAGGGTTGGGGGGTTGGGAGGTTGGGGGGTTGGGGAGTTGAGGGGTAGGGGGGTAGGGGGGTTGGGGGGTTGGAGGGTTGAAGGGTTGGAATGTTGATCGGTTGGGAGGTTGGGGGTTTGTGGAGTCGTGGAGTTCAAGGGTTGGGGGGTTGAGGGGTTTGGAAGGTTTTGGACTTGGAAGGTTAGGGGGTTGGGGGTTGGGGGGTTTAAGGGGTTGGGAGGTTGGGAGGTTGAGGGGTGAGGGGGTTGGGGGTTGGGGGAGTTGAGGGATTGCGGGGTGGGGGGTTTGGGAACTGACGGGCTGTGGAATTGGGAGGCTTCACGCCCTGGATGGGGTTTCTGATGTCCCCGGGTTGGGGGGGTGGGGGGTTTCACTCCCGTGGGAGGTTTCTGATGTCACAGGGTTAGGGTTGGGGGCTTGCGGGGTTTCGCCCCCCTGAGGGGTTTCTGATGTCCCCGGGTTGGGGGGTTGGGGGGTTCCACCCCTCTTGAAGGGTTTCTGAGGTCACGGGGTTGGGGGTTCAGGGGGTGGGGGTTTCAAACTCTAGAAGGATTTCTGATGTCCCGAGATTGGGGGGGGTGGGGGGTGCACCCCCCCCTCCACAATTGAGGAGGGGTTTCTGATGTCACAGGGCTGGGAGGTCGGGGGGCTGGGGGCTTCACCCCCCGGAGAAGTTTCTGATCTCCCGGGGTTGGGGTGTCGGGGGCTTGGGGGATTTCACCTCCCTGAGAGGTTTCTGATGTCGCAAGGTTTGGAAGCAAAAAGGCCCCCAACCAACCACCGTCAGGTGTGCAGGAACGGCGATGTGCGAGCGAAGTGGGCCCGATGCTTTCCTCCCTGGGCCCGCCCCCCCCCCCCCCCCCCCCCCCCCCCCCCCCCCCCCCCCCCCCCCCCCTCTCGTTGCCCTTGCAGGAGGAGCTGGGAGGAGCAGGCCCCCCTGGAGGCCAGAACAAGCCATGGCACTGCCAGAAGGAGCGCCAAATAAGGAACCAAGGGGCTTTCCTGGACACGGCGGGCCTCGTCCATAAATAGGTTCCCCGACCTAGAACTACCGGAAAATCCTAGCCTTCCTGAGCCCAAAGTGGTCCTTACGTCAGCGCTGTGACTGTAGAAAGGAGGATACGGCGGCATCGACACCAGCCCGTCCAACTTCTCCAGGAGCGCGTTCGGGCTAATATTGCTCGACGGGGATCCAGCCATATGACCAGCCTCCGCGGAGCCTCCAGAAGATCGAAAGACGTCTGGAAACGCCCTGAGCCTCGAGCCTTCGACGCCCCCGTAGATATCCGATTTGAAGGAAGGACAAAAAGAAGACGCGGGGGCCGTGAAATCTAATTAGGGAGATTTCATGGCGTCGGCCCTGACCCCCCTCTTCGACGCCTGGTAGCTTTCGGATCCCAACTCGGGCCTCCAGCGGCCACTCGGGACGATCTGGGCAGCCCCAGAGCAAGCCCTCGACGAGGCCTAACTGCTGGGCTGCTGGGGAGCATCCCGAGGCGATACGGCCTCCCCGGGAACCGACGAAGACGACCTCCCTCTCCTGCCTGGGCGACCCAAGGGCGGGCACGGGGCCGCCCGCGCGCGGCACGACGACTGCCCCCCTCCCCTAGAGAGCCTGCCTTCCGGGCTCGGCCGCCTCCTGCTGGGCAGCGGTGCGGCCGGCCTCCTCGGGGGCGGGGGGCCGCAGCGAGAAACCCTCGGAGCCGCGACGACGCCTCCACGATCGACGGTCGAGGACGATCGAGGACGGTCGACGATGGAGGACGACGACGATCACGACGACGACCGACGACGGGACTCGATGACCGAGGACGGCGCCGATCACGGCGATGCCGATGGAGGAGGAGGAGGAGGAGGAGGAGGAGGAGGAGGAGGAGCAGGAGGAGGAAGACGTTCTCCTCCTCCTCCTCCTCCTCCTCCTCCTGCTTCTCCTCCTCCTCCTCCTCCTCCTCCTCCTCCATTGCCCGTCGAACGATCCACACATCCTTCTACAGTCGCCCTCCACACGACAGTCACTGATTGCTGGAAATCTCACGGGACTCCTAGCGGCGCGCCCGTTGAGCACCAGCAAGCAGGGCACAATTGACAGTGCAACATCTACTTTGCAAAAAACTGGAACATATCACGCTGGCTGGGCGCCATGCGCCCGTGATCTAAGAAATTCTTTCGCCGACGGGGGCACATCCGGTTGAAACTGGCATGCCGGTGACCCTCTGCGGGGCAAACGAACGCATCCCAAGCAAAGACCGATACGTGGCTTCCTCGGGGCAGATGCGTTCACACATTGAAAAACGCTCACTCGAATGCTCTGTCTTGCCGTCTCCTCCTTCCTCTGTCTCCGGTTTAACCTCTCCCCCCTGCTTCCATCACCTCGCCATCCCCCCATCTTAATACTCGCGTCTGCTGCGTGCAGGTCGCGCAGGGGGGCCTAGTGACAAGCTGCGAATGAGATATTCCTGCAATATGGTCGCGTCTTTAGGGCCGCTTTGCATGATGCGGCGCACACATCCGCTAGCGGGACACAAGAGCAAACATCGATACTGCCCACTCGAGCGACGCCGCACAGCTTCATGGGGAAACATGCATAAGAGACGCCACGGCAGAATACCATTAAAAAATCCTTCCACCGTGATGTCAAGGAAAATACTGCCGCGCGCACTGTGAGGCGCTAAAGCCAAGCTCGAGCAGAACAGCTGACGCAGCATCAGGTAAAGCGGCATAGTTACAACACAAGCATCCGCCACCGTGCCCTGAGGCACGAGTTGGAATGTCCTCAGGTCCCTCCCTTGTCTCTTCGTCCTCAGCCCTGGCTGAATGACGATTCGGGGGCCCCGACCCAAAATTGCCAAATTTCCTGGGGCTCCCCGCGTGCCTTCTGGACTTTCCGCGCTTCCCGCGTGACACCAGGGCCAGGAGGGCCCCTCAACGGACCAAGAGGGACCCAAGAGGCCTATAAGACGGTCCAACAGCGCCCCGAGTCGCCCGAGATCGCTCCAGGACTCCCAAGATGGCCTCCAGATGGCCCAAGGCTCTGAGAGGATACGAGAAACGAACATATGCTTTCGGCTTTTTACGGGTTTCAGGGTTGTCGCCTTTTCGGCCCAAGGGCCTCAGATGGCCCAAGGGGGGGCCGAGACGACCAAAGAGCCCCCAAAACGGTCCAAGAGGGGACCCGAAGGAGCCCCAGTGCCCCAGGAGAGAGAACTCGACTAAGATGACCCTGGGGACCGCCAGCAAGCACCCAAGGAGCCCCCGCAATGACTCAGAACGTCCCCAAGAGGCCAAAGGTAGGCCCCAGGAGCCCCAAGAGGTCCCCAGACACCTCCAAAAGCTGCCTCCAGGAGGCTTCCAATATGCCTTCCAAGATACCCCCACAGGCTTCACGAGGCCTCTGACCTACAACCTGGGCGTAGTGGCGGACTGGGTCGAACGCCACTACTTGGCAGCGAGCCCGGGGGGATGTGAGAAGGGGCGGGTCTTCTCAGAAGGCTCGGAAGTCCTCTGGCCGTCTGAAAAGTTTTCTAAGCATTCCCAGAAGACGCGGAAAACTTCTCAGAAGGCGGGAGGGTGTCTGAGAAGTCCCGCCGACTCCTGAGAGGGCCTTCTCCTTCTCACTTCTCCCCTCGGTCGCTGCCGAACTACATGCTGAACCATGTGAACTGGTCTGATCTGCAGCAACTGTCAGCGTGTTGCATCAAAAACAATCGTGCCGACGACATCGTTAACCAACTTCACGGCGAGGGGCTTGGCCCTGACCTGCTGGAATCAAAAAGCTGAAACCATACAGGCCGTAATTAGCAACATTCCCACCTCCAGTGAGGACACGCTCCACGGCCCCCCAGGGGCGACGACCGAATGTGAAAGTGTATAGCCACGACAAATCTTTGATCACCCCCATCACAAACAATTATTTCCAGGGCCTAATTGACGGCTGCCGCCATCAAGCAATAACCAGCAAATATTCCTCCGCCGCAAGCGCCAGCGCGGTCGTCGTCGTCGTCGTCGCCGTCGTCGTCGTCGTCGTCGTCGTCGTCGCCGTCATCGTCGTCGTCGTCGTCGTCGTAGTCGTCGTTCGTCGTCCGTCGTCGCCATCCGTCGGCGTCGTCCGTCGTCCGACGAGAAAGCAGCTCGAAGCCATAACTCGTAAATTGTGCGCAATTACGCAGAACTCGCCGTCCCCGAAGGCACGTGCCCTTGTAAATTTTCAATGTTCGCGCCGGGACCACTATATCTAATGACTTACGCCGAACTCGCACCCACGAAGCACCGAAGCCACGGTGCCTTGTCAAATACTTCGAAGAATCCGAAGACCGCCCAAACCGCGCGATTTTACCCAACGTAGCCTCAAGCAACCGACAGGTGTTCCAAGAGGGCCTCCGATACACAGCATGGTGGGCCGTACGAAAAAAAGGCAGCACAGCTATCAACAAAATCATATGAAACCCAACTTGTCTTCAAGATCACCAATCGTCCTCGCACGAGGCTTCGATGCTGCCCTATGGCGGCGACCAAGCATCCCAACATAGGTCTTGCATCTTCCGTTATAATAAAGAAAGGGCCGGCGGCAGAGGGCAAAACCCTTACGGATTAAACTGCCGAGTCACCGAATGTTTTCATGATGGTTGGCAAAACCGCGCAGATTTGTTGAAACGAAATGTTGGATCACCATGATTCCCCCTGGTGTTCGGACGTTTCGATGTTGAAACCCTTGCGGACACAATTCTTGTGCACGGATTTCGGCATGCGCGCGCGATGATGCGCGCGTGTTTTGGGATAGGCGCGAATGCGCGAACATCGTACTATTCTGTCAGGGATGAGGCGGGGCGACAAGGTGCCTGCCTGGGATGCTATGCATTGTCTGCCCAATGAATGATGCAACACATTCAAATGTAATTTCCAATGTCCCAGGGAGCACCGATAATCCAGAGGGGATCTTGTCTTGTTTCTAGCAAACATGAGATTTCTCCTTGCAAAATTTGCAGGCGTCAGCGCCCACGTTCGCGCAACAATTCCACCCACCCACCCACAAGCTCCCACGTTCGCGGAAAACGGCCAGCTGGTGTGGTGCAGACGATGCGGCCAAGATGGCGCTTACCGGTGGGAGCTTCCCAGCGCGTCTCGATGGCCGCACTAGCGCGCGAGTACTTCAGTGCGGGTCGATGTTTCGGGCGGGCGCGGTGCCATGATGACGTCGACAACGGCGGCAACGATGATGATAATAGCGATGGTGGTGGAGATGGTGATGATGACGGCGACACGACCAATGACGGCGCAGACGCTGGTGACGACGATGACGATGATGATGTCCATGCGTCGGTGATGACAGCGACTGGCAGATGACAGCGGTAATGACGGCGATTGGCGATGACGACGAGGCGGTGATGTGATGGCGGAGGAGCTTCGCGAACAGCTTTCGGTTGGGAAGCGCGTGTTTTTTCCATACATTTTCGAACAGCAGCTCTACCTTGAATCACTTCGACAGCTAATGGTTTTGGAATGATTGCGGCACGCGCGCGTGGCGGCGCGCGCGTGTTGCCCGCACGGTGCTATTTGGTACGGGCCCATGAACTGGGCACGTGTTGGACCAACGGAAGTGCAACGCGTGGTGAGATGCGAATTCGTTGTCTGGACGAGTTTGGTAAACTCATATTACTTCTATACGATTTCACAAGACGCGCGCGGGCAACACATCTGCAACATGTGGCATGCAACGAACGATCTACATTTGTTTTAAGATGGTGTGCTTGCATAACTGTTCTGTTTGGTGTGATTCCGGCATGTGCGCGCGTGTAGAGTTTGTGTTGAACGACAGTCTTTGGATATAAACGAGTACGCGCGCACCCTATTATTTGACGGGGGCGTGGTGGGGGTCGATACCCAACCCTCATGGGATAGTACGAAATCTCACGGAAATTGAACGATGAGGCATGGTCCTCTGTAAATTGCAGTGCCCCCAGGGGCCCCGATAACTAACCCTGGGGGGGGAGGGAATCGTGGTTGAGTTCATCTTCTTTCGAAAGGAAGGTCCGCTAACGAAGAACTTGCACACTTCAACTACGCTGCTCGTGCAATCATCGTACCCTTCCACCCGCAACTTGTCTGGTCAAGCCCATGCGGCCATGATTGCGGTTCCCAGCTGGAAGTTGCTAGCGCGTCTCTGCGGCCACGCTATGCGTGCGACCCATATGGTGTTATTTGATCGGGGATCGTGCACTGGCGCATGCAAGATCGAAGCGGGTGCACCGCGTGGTGTGATGAGCATGCGGGTCCTGGACAAGATTGTTGCAATCACGTGGCCTCCCTGGGATTCCAGCAAATGCGCGTGGGTAGAACAATATTTATGGTATTGCTTGAATGAAAGGCCTACAAGTTTGAACTGTTTTTGGATAAATTGCTTGAATCCATGATGTGCGGTATGCTATCGGAATGTGTGCGCGTGTTGACTTAGCGGTATTTGTAGTAATGGGTGATTGAACATGTCTTTTCAGATACATGCGCGCGTGTGCACACATGGTAATGCTTGAAATAGATGAGGGGGTGATGCCTGCTTGCCTAGAATGGTATGCAAAATGAGCACTGGGGCAGAACCGTATGTAGTTTCGCAATGTCCCAGAGTGTATCGATCATCCCCGGGAGTGGGGGTGTGGAGTCTAGACAGTATTTCTGATAGTTTCGTCAACGCGTGAATTGTCATTCGATTGCTGGGGCAATCATCCCACCCTCCCACCCGCAACTTGCTCGGCAACGCTCATGCGGCCACGATTGCGGTTGCCGACGGGCACTTGCTTTCACATCGCTGTGGCCGCGCTGGTGCTCGAACGCTCGCGCGCAAGGCGGCCAGCTGGCCTGGCACAACTGAAGCGGCCGTAATTGCGCTTACCGATGGGACCTTTACAGTGCGACTCAAATGCCGCGCTGGCGCGCGGTCACTTCAGTGTGGGTCGGTAACTCGGGCGGGGGCGGTATCATGATGACGTCGGAAAAAGCGGCAAAGCTTATGATAGTCGATGGTGGTGGCGATGATGACGATGACGACGGCAATGCCTCTGCCGGCGCAAATGCTGGCGACGACGATGACGATGATGACCGTGTGTCGGAGATGAAGGTGGCTGTGCTAGTTTTGGCGGCAGTGGCGATGCGCTGGCGCTGATGATGGTGATGATGAGGAATTGCGCGCGCGTAGAAATTCAAATTTTCGGACAAACTGTTCCTTGAATCCACTTTGTTTTTGTTCAACTGTGTCTGGGCACCTCTATCGTGAACAGCTTCGAAAGCCACTGGTTTTGGACAGATTTCGACACGCGCGCGTGGCGGAGCACGCGTGTAGCCTGCTTTATCTTACTTTATACGGATTCGCACACTGGGCGCATGCTAGATCAAAAAGATGTAGCGCGTGGTGACATGAGTATGCGGGTTATTACAAAATTCAGTTGGCTCCCCTATAATTTCAGCAAGTGGAAGCGGGCAGAAAACCTGACAGATCTGTGATGGGAGCACTCATGACAGCCCCTAGGGTGCCCCAAGAGCTTCCCGAGAGGCCCCAGTAGGCCACCACGAGTCCCCAGCAATCCCCAAGAGGTTCCCAAACTGCCCCAATAGGCCCCAAAGATGCCCCCAAGACGCGCCTAGAATCCCCCGAGAGCCGCCAACAGGCCCTCCAAACCCCCCAAGAGGTCTCCAAGCAGCCTCAAAGATACACCCCAAGAGACCCAAGGAAGTATTCAAGGGGCCCCTGGCCCACACAGGCCCCCGAGATCGCCAAATGATGCCACACTCCCCTGTTCAGGGTAACTCTGCTGGGCGTCGTGCTTGGATGGCCTGGTGGGAATGCGCGAAGCGTTAAGACTTGTCAACCACCCGTTGCCAGCTCTGCAAATATGTTTCGGACCTATGAACAACGCTACGACGCATCCGAGATATAGTCGGAGGCAGGGAGGCAGGGTTGTGATCTCAGCGAGGCTTCGTCGCACCGGTGGCGGCAGAAGCTGGGGGTTCCAGCACTCAGGCATGCGGCTCTGGCTCTACGTCCCTGAGGACGAAAGGCAAGAACTCTGGATTCTTGACGCGCGTCACCCGTGCGGCGGTCCACTTGCGCAGATTAGCCTCAAGGCCCTGCTGAGAAGCGTTAGATACGTTGAGGGGGACCACTCGGCCAGTCTCGTCCTCCATGCCGAGGCGCCTGGAGTGGTGCCACGCCGCCGCAAACGCCCTGGCCGCCTCAGGCGTGTTGAAATTGATGAAGCCGATGCCTTTTCCGGAACCGTCTTCGAAGCTCCTTGGGATGTATGCGAAGTTGTACTTCTCTGCAAAGCCACTGCTGTTGACCTCGTCGAGGAATTCCTGCTGAGACGTGTGGATGTGCAGGTTGCGCACCACCAGAGTTGTGATCCTGGGCTGGTTGGCGCGCCGATCCTTCTGGCTTTTCTTCCACTTGTGAGCAACTTCCTGGGCCTGGGTCTCCTGATGCGTGGGGGCCTTGGCCACCACAGCTCGGGTGGCCGTCGCGGAAGCGGCCGGGACACCGTAGACTTCGGGCGGCTGTGTCCCGCCTGCCGTCGTGGGAGCTGCCGGAAGAGACTGGATGCCTGGTAGGCGCCGCATCACCGTCGCTGGCGGCGCAGCCTGGCGGGCCACCTGCTGCCTGGGCTCGCGGGGGCGCGTTCCCAGGAGGGGCCCCGTCTGGGCGCAAGGGCCAGGCAAGGCCTCCGGCGCCAGGGCGGCTGGGGTGCGGGCGAGGCTGCGCCTCGGCTTCGGCGCCCAGACGGGCCAGAGCTCCCACGCAGCCTTCATCTGGGGCTCGCCCTCGCCCTCGTCATCCGTGCTGGGGTAAACCAGGATCTTCGACGGGAAGGCATCGTCCTCGCCATCGACGTCATCCTCCTCGCCATCGCTGTGACCATCCTCGCCGCCGCTCATCAGCTCAGGCGGCGCCACGTTGCGGCGGTGGCGTATGTTCATGCCGCGCAGCACAGGGTTCGATGGGCAGCCCATCGAGGACGGTGGGCTGCCCCAGCACCGAGACCGTGGTGCGTCTGGCGCAGGGCTCGCCTCGGAGCTGAAGGTCCACCGCCCTGGCGGCTCCGCCTGCGGTGCCCCCCAGGCCATCGAATCGAAACTGATCCTCTCAGACGCGTTCGACGGGCAGGTGAAATTGTCTGGCGCCGCGCCCCCGCGGTAGCTCAACGGCAGGGCGGTGGGCCTCTCCGACTCGCAGGCCAGTCCCCTCAGGGATGGGGAGCAGCACCCCGAGCTGAGCGGAAGCCCTGGCTGCCCGGAGCCGCAGGGCGCCTGTCAGTGGTTCAAAGGTGGGGTCCTGAGGGATTCGGCCCCAAGGACGAGGAGCCTCAGACGGAGTAAATCCAACCTTGGACCCCTTTCTATGCTTCGGACCCTATCCCGCAGGCCCCCCCCTTCTAAACCGCATGGCGCCTGGAAGCCCAGGTGCATGTTCGTGCTGGCGACGTGGCACCAGGTTTGAGGGTCGGCGACGGCCTGGGCCGCGGCGATCACGTCAGCTGGGCGGACGCGCGGCCGGCTGGGTGGGGCAGCGCTGGGGAGTCCTCGGGATTCCCTGGAAGGCTTCGAATCGATGGGGTGCTCTGGGCCCGAGCCCAAGTGGCAGCGGAAACCGTCGAGCATGGTCCTGAGGAGGATACTCCCCCAGAGGGCACCTGCACGCCACGACAATATCTGCCAGGTGACATCCTGGGCGTGTTGGCAGGGCCTGGCGCCGGCCCTCGCGCGGGCCCTGCCTACACCCCGTCCTCTTCGGGGGGAGGGGGAGGAGGAGGAGGAGGAGGAGGAGGAGGAGGAGGAGGAGGAGGAGGAGGAGGAGGAGGAGGAGGAGGAGGAGGGGGAATGCTGGGGGGGGGGCGTTCGCTCAGCGTGTCGCGGCGGCGGCACCAGCGACACGCCATGCCCTGCAAGCGGGGTTAGCGTGCCGCCATCCGCGGGGCGGGAGGCTTGGGGAAAGGCTCGGAAGGTCGACGCTTGGAAAACATGAGGAGGTGGTCAGCGTGTCGCGCCGAAGAGCGGTGGGCCAGCATCGGCGGTGCGACGCGCCGAACAACATTTCCTGACCGTAGGATGGGGACTAGCTCGTGGAGGGGGGAAACATCGACCTGGAGTCGGAGATACATCGCCGATAGAGATCGGCGATAGGGCCCCGATGGCAGATCCAACGTGCCCTGGTGGGGTGGGCTATCGGGCCCCTATCGGCGACGAGTGAGCGATTGGGTGACGATGCATCCCCCGTGAGCCTCTCTTCCCCTGAAGGTGCCCCCGAAGCGTTGGAGCCCCAAACCGTCTGGTGACAGACCGTGCGGCGACCTCGGAATCCGCCCAAAGACCTCACAAACACGGCCCGCCGCCGCACGTTTTTAGGGGATCTCGGAGGCCCTGGCCGCCCGAAGCATCCCCAGAGAACGGTCCTGACGCCTCGAAAGCGTGCGACCGCCCCGGATCCCCAGTCACTCAACCAACGGTGCGGTCACCGCGCCGCTGTGGGACCTCCGAGGAGGAGCCCGCCGCCCCCCGTGCTTCCGGGAGCGCCAGAGGCCAAGACGACGACGGCGGTCGTGCGCGGCGCAGCTGCTGGGCCTGGACAACTCCCGGCCCTCGACCTTCAATCATCGAGCCTCGACGAGGACGACGGCGATTCCGACACCGCCGACCACGACGACGCCGACGACAACGATTCCGACAACGCCGCCGACCACGACGACGCCGACGACAGCGACGACGCCGACGCCGACGACGACGACGGCCGCGCGCGGTGCAGCTGTAGGTGCCGGAGCGCCCGACCCCATCCTCTGTGCGGTGATGTCTCGCCAAATCGGGGGTACTCCCGGGGACAACTTTTCCATCCCGGGTCGTCCCCTGGCAGTCCCCGGGCCCAGGGGGGGCTCGGGAGGCCGGCGGCCGCGCGACGACTCAGGACATCCTTCCCTCAGAGTCCCTCTTCTCGCGTCGAACCTTCCATGCACATGACGTCTCCGAGGGTCCCTGAAAATCGCCGGAAGCCTCTGAATTCCCCGTGTGCCTCCAGAGGCCTCCGAAAGGCCCATGAGGCCCCTCCAGGAAGAGAACGTGCACCCCGAGCCTGTGGCGAGAGAGCACGGCAAGCTTGGGCCCCCCGGAATCATAGAGGGAACGACGAGGGGTGACTGGCTCAAGGGAAGAAACCTCGACCTGGAGTCGGCGATGCGTTGCCGAAAGATCGGCGACAGGCCGCTGGCCGCGAAGCCGCGTAACGTCGCCAATCGATCGGCTATAAACCGCCTGAATCGCACGACGTGTATTGCACCACATAGCTTGCGCAACGTAGGTTGCGCCGCACAGATTGCACCGCGTGGGTTGCACCACCTCGATAGCACCGCATCTACCGATAGGACCACTCTACGGGTGACAAGGACGTCGGGGGGGGGGAAGGGGGAAGCGGTCGACTTGCGATGGCTCTGGGTTTCTCGGTGGTTTCTTCAAGTGTCGTTCTCGCGCGCCCCTGCTTATCTGTCTATCGACGCATCTATCTATCTATACTACTGTCTGCGCGTATGTCTATATGTATCCACCGACCTACCTATCCATCTGTCTACGCGTCTATCGATCGATCTATCTATCCATATATGTATCTATTTGCCTGCCCCTTGCATGTGAGAACGCGTTGCCATGCCGAGAAGTTGCCGGCGTGTTATCAGTTGTGTATATATATATACACATGTTCACACTCAATGTTAGAGAACCCCCTCGGGCCCGACCCATTTTTTAAGGCCCCCTTGGGCCCCGATCAATTTTTTCAAGAGCCCCCTGGGGCCCCGAAGTGTTTTTTGGGGCCCCCCTGGGGCCCCGATCTGTTTTCGAGATCCCCCGGAGAGCGCTCGAGGCGCGCCTGCGAGGCTCCTTCTTGCGCCAGTCGTCCTCAAGTCGGATCTCAAAAGAGACCATTCGCGCTGACCCGCTGGTATCTTCGCTCCCCCGCTTTTCCTATTCCTCCACAAAAGGATTTGCGGCTACGAGACCAGAAGCGGATATGATTGCCGAGTCCGGAGTCCCTGGCAAAGCCTCGGGGAGCCAATGTCATCTCCCAAATTCGGTGCACATGCAATTCGAATAGATGGATACATATACGCATGCACATGCTTCACTCCCGAATTCTCTCCAACATCTCAACCAATAGCATGGGAGAGGATTCGCGCGCTCAATCCCGCGACCCAAGCGCGTCGGTGAGGCTTCTGGCCCACGACCCAGGCACATCGGTGAGGCTTCTGACCCCGCAGCCCGGGCACGGCGGCATGGCCTCTGGGGAGGAGGAGGAGAATGAGCCGACGTAGGGCGCAGGGCGTGAACCGCCATAGGGCGCAGGGCTGGCAGAGCCTGGCCCCGGCCCCCCTGACTGCTGGAAACCCAATCCAAAGTGGAACGGCTTGAGTGCAAATACCTTCGGAATGATGGTGGTGAAGTGGTGGTGATGGTGTGGTGGTGGTAGTGGTATTTGTGTGTACATCCTTCTATACATACATATATATATGTGGTATGTATTGTTATATATACACATATGCCAATCTGTATGTCAACAGATCTGTCTGTCTCTCTATCTGAGCGAATGCCTATCTGTCGATACATATATTTGTATGTGTATCTGTGTCTCTATCAATATATTTACCCATCTCTCTCTCTATATATATATATATATCCCTCTCTCTCTCTCTTTCGGTCCATCTATGTATCTATTTATGTACCCACCATCGGGACAACCATCGGGGACACCACCGGGGCACCCATCTGGACACCAATCGGGACAACCATCGGGAACACCATCGGGACACCCATCGGGGCAACCATCGGGACAACCATCGGGGCAACCGTCGGGACACCCATCGGGACAACCATCGGGACAACCATCGGAACAACCATCGGGACAACTATCGGTAACACCGTCGGGACAATCATCGGGACAACCATCGGGACAACCATCGAGGCAACCATCGAGGCAACCATCGGGGCAACCATCGAGGCAACCATCGAGGCAACCATCGGGGCAACCATCGAGTCAATCATCGAGCCAATCATCGGGACAACCATCGGGACAACCATCGGGACAACCATCGGGGCAATCATCGGCACAACCATCGGGACAACCATCGGGGCAACCATCGGGACAACCAGCAGGACAATCATCGGGACAATCATCGGGACAACCATCGGGACAACCGGGGGCCGCGCCCGCCCCGGGGGGGTGGGGCGGCCTTTTGGGCTCCCTTTGCGCGCAGCTTCGCCTCGCCCGCACGCGCGACACAAACCGAAACCGAAACCGATTTCCTGGTTGGGGTCACTTCCACTCACGCCCCCCAATTTCCGATAGAGTAACACATCGATAATACAACATAGATTGCACCACGCCGATTGACTTCCTGTATTGTACCACATTGTTCCCTCTTTCTAGAAACAAATCGGTTCTACCACCCTCTCCCCCCGGACCTATCCAACCCCCGGGAACCGATGCAAAACACATCGGATGCTGACCCAATGTCCATCCTACTGTGAGTTCGTACGATCCCAGCCAAACAAACCGGTATCGCACCCCCCCGCCATCCTCTGCAAAAAAAACTACGCGCGCGCACTCGTTTATCAAAAATCATACGTTTCCAAACATCTCTTGCAAAACAAGGAGTTGAAAAAACGGGACGACGCGCACGCGCGCGCATCGTCGCGCGCGCATGCCGAAATCCTTCAAAAACCTTCGGTTTCGGAGAAACTTCAAAATCGAGTACCCAAGCACATAGAGCGGATGTTCAACAAAAGCGTGCGCGCGCTCGTGCGAATCCTTAAGAAAACCAGACGTTGTTCAACATTTTCAAGAAACTACTATCAGATTGGCTTCGCGCTCGCGCATGTCGAATTCGTTCGAGTGCCTTTGCGCGCGTGCCGTCGCGAGAATCCCTTGCAACAAAAAGAAAGTGCACGCGCTCGTCATCGCGCGTGCATGCCAAAATCCTTCAAAAACCTTCGGCTTCGGAAGGATTTCAAAATCGAGTGTTCAAAGAACACAAAGAGCACACAGTTTCGCAACAAGGATTTTCAACAAAAGCGTGCGCGGGCGCTCTTGCGAATTCTTAAGAACGCCAAGGCTTTTTGAACATGTTCATAACATGCTACCAAACGGGCTTCGCGCGCGCATGTCGGAATCGTTCGAACGCCCTTGCGCGCGTGCTGGGGTAGTACGATCCGTTTCAAACAATACCATGCGAGCCACTCTCGCGCGTCTGCCGCGCGCGAGTGTCGAATTCCTTCCAAAACCTTTATCACAGACGCGAAGACGCCGTCATCGTCGTCGGCGCGATCGGCGTCGGCGCCGCCATCGCATCTATCATCATCATCTATCATCATCATCATCATCATCATCATCATCGTCGTCTCTACACTTTTTGTCACCAGCATCGCCACTGTCATCGTCATCGTGTTTAGAAGCGTCGACGTTGCCATGATACCGCGCCCGCCCAAGCCACCGACTCGCACTCAAGTGCCCGTTGGGATGTGCCAAGCGGTCAGCACCACCGCGGCCTCGCCGGTCGCGCCAAGCTATCTGGCCGCTGCGCGCGCATGCGCGGGCTGGCGCGGCCGCAGAGATGAACCAGCCAGCGCCAAGCACTCATCGCAATCGCCGCCGCATGAGGTTTGCAAACCAAGTTGCGGGTGGGTGGGTGGGATGTTTGCGCGAACAGTGGAGTGGAATACTCATTGCGAACAGAAATTAATTGCACTACATAGATTGCACCCCGCAGATTGCATCACGCCGATTCTCCTTTCTAAAAAAAGAATCGGCTCTACCCCCCCTTTGCGTTCGCCGCCCCCCTTTCGGGTATGTAAATAAAAAATGCTTCTGACCATGTGTCCATCCTAAATATGAATTTGCACTATCCCCGGGGAACCGGTATCGGTCCCCTGAGGATACGCGGGGACATCTCTTGTTTTAACATAAGACTTGTTCGCGAATCCCTTGCAAAAAAAATGAAACGAAGTGCACGCGCGCGCGTCGTCGCGCGCGCATGCCGAAATCCTTCAAAAACCTTCGGTGTCGGAAGGAATTCGCCATCGAGCTCCAAAACAACAGTCAAAAACACAGGGGTTCGCAACACTGATTTGCTAAAAAAGCTTACGCGCGAGCTCTTGCGAAATCTTACGAAAACCATTGGGTTTTCAAGATGTTCACAAAATGCTACCAAACGGGCGTCGCGCGCGCGCATGTCGAAATCTGTCGAACGCCCTTGCGCGTGCGCCGTCGCGAGAATCCTCTGCAACAAACTGGGACGAAGTGCAGACGCGCGCGTCGTCGCGCGCGTATGCCGAAATCCTTCGAAACCCATCGGTTTCGGAAGGATGTCAACATCGTGTGCCCAAAAAACTTTCAAAAACACCAAATTTCGCAACACGGATTTTCAACAAAAGCGTGCGCGCGCGCGCTCTTCCGTCGTCGTCGTCGTCGTCGCCGTCCTCTCTCCTTCCGCGTCGTCGTCGTCGTCGTCGTCGCCTACGTCGTCCTCTGTCTTTTCTCGTGTTCGTCGTCATCGTCCTCTTTGGCGTCGTGGTCGTTTCCGTCGTCGTTGTCGCCGTGGTCGTCCTTCCTCCTCCTCCCTCGTCGTCGTCGTCGTCCGTCGTCGGCGTCTCGTCGTCGTCCCTCCCATTTCATCGCCGTCGTAGTCGTCGTCGTCGTCGTTTTCCCTCCTCCCTTGTCGTTGTCGTCGTCGGCGTCGCCGTCTTCCCTCTTTCTTCGTCGTTCGCGTCGTCGCCGTCCTCCCTCCTCCCTCGTCGCTGTCGTCGTTGTCGCCGTCGTCGTCCTCCCTCCTCCCTCGTCGTCGTTGTCCTCGTTGGCGACGTCGTCGTCGTCTTCGTCGTCAGCGTCGTCATCGTCTTCGCCGTCGTCGACGTCGGCGTCGTCATCGTCGCCGCCGTCGTCGTCGTCGTCGGCGTCGTCGTCGTCGTCGGCGTCGTCATCGTCGTCGTCGGCGTCGTCGTCGTCTGTGTCGTCGTCGTCGTCGTCGAAGTCGTCGGGGACGTCGTCGGTGTCGTCGTAGTCGTCGTCGTCGGCGTCGTCGTCGTCGTTGACGTCGCTGTCGTCGTCGTCGTCGTCGTTGACGTCGCTGTCGTCGTCGTCGTCGGTGTCGTTGCCAGTGCCATTTGGTACCTACTGTCAGGGTCCTAAGAGGCTTTGCAAACCAAGTTGCGGGTGGGTGGGTGGGATGTTTGCAAGAGCATGGGATGTGTCAAATCATGGGTAAAAATCAATTGCACAACATGGATTGCACCACGTAAACTGCATTTTTGTCGCCGTCGCCACCCAGCGGCCGCCTTGTCGACGCCCGTCGTCTGGGCCTGACCGTCGGTCTGGCGGCTATGTTGTCGCCTTCATCGCCCCGTCGCTGCCCATCGTCTGGGCTTGGCCGTCCCCATGGCCGCCTCGTCGCCGCCCGTCGTCTGGGCCTGACCGTCGGTTTGGCGGCTATGTTGTCGCCGTCGCCGCCTCGTCGCTGCCGGTCATACTGCACCACATAGGTTGCAACCTAAATATATGCGCATGTGTGTATGTATGTGTGTATGTGTGTGTATGTCTGTCTGTATGTATGTGTATGTGTATGTATGTATGTATTTATGTGTGTATGCATGTATGTATGTGTGGATGTATGCATAGATGCATGCACGCACGCTTGCATGCACGCATATATATATATATGTATATATATATACATGTGGCACCCCATACATTGTATCACATATATTACACAACATAGCACAGGCACTGTCTGGAATCCTCGCTGGCAAACTTACATACATGCATATGTACAATAAAGGGTCAAGTCAGCAGTGAGAGCTCTCTATACCTATGAACAAGGACATGGGAGAAACGCATCTCTATATAACTGACACGAACTATACACATACACGTAAGT